CTGACTCCAGCAGTAAATAAGCAAGGTCTTTGCTTTGCTTTGCTTTCAGAACTCACGGGACATGTATTGACATGGGATCCTTCTGTGATCACAGAAAAGTGCTGGGAGCCCCCAGTGCTTTATGCTGCAGACTGCCCAGTGCCCTGCCCATGCTCCTCTCCAACACTGTCGAAGGGCAGCAGCTTTCTCTGTGTCCCTCTGCCCACTAGAGTGAGTTGATTCCTTTAGACATGAAGACAGGTCTGGTCTTAGATTCATCTTTGGGTGTCCCCAGTGCCTATTACAGTATTGGGCTTATTTTTATAGACTTGTCTTGTTCTGTCCAGATAAATCTAGTACTATGTTATAAAATAGTAACCAAAGAAGTTAAAGTAATTATTGCAGAGGAAACAGAATCCGATGCGAAATCAGTTGCCTTATGTATAACTATGGTTGCAAAAGATTCTGTTGTTATGCTGGGCGTTGGTAGCGCATGTCTTTAATCCCAGCACTCCGGGAGGCAGAGGCAGGCAGATCTCTGTGATCTGGTCTATAAAGGGAGTTCCAAGACAGCCAGGACTGTTATGCAATGAAACCCTGTCTCGAAAAAACAAAACAAAACAAAAAACAAAAAAAAAGCAGGAGCCACCTCCTGAGTGTGACAGCCTGTGCCTATAGTTCTAGCACAGGAGAGGTGAAGGCAGGGGTGTCAGGAATTTAAGGCCCAGCCTTAGCTACAACAGTGATTTCAAGGCCAACTTGAGCTACATGAGACCCAGTTTCAAAACACAAACCAGAAAAGCCACCTCATCTATCGGGAATTTTTTCAACTTCCCCTATGATGGTCTTCTAGCAAAATTTAAAACCCACGGCCTCTTTAGGAACCATACCGTCATTATTCTGATGCCCCCAACCCTGGTCTCGTCTTACCCTCATCAGCCAAGAATATCTTCTGAGGCTTGTATCATAAGAACAATGCCCTTTTCTCATAGACAATTAACTCTCGATATTGAATCTGACTTTCAAACTGTACGTCCTGTCTGAGGCATCCTGTTTCTGGCATGCTTCTACCCACTCTCAATTAAGAATCCCTTCTCTAAAACCGTCACAGTAATTTCCCATCTATTTGGATTGGTAAACCAGGCCCCAGCTTTAATTTAAGGAGTCTAGTTAGGCAAATTTATGTTCGGAACTTAATGTCAGGCAAGTAAATAAATTGTCTGGCATCAAGCTTTGATCAGAGCTCTCAGCCTGACAACTTGAGCCAAAAACAGAATCTGTAGAATTCTCTTCTCAGTACTGGTCAGGAATTGAGGTAGAGGCAAGTGTGGTGGCACATGCCTTTAATCCAGCACTTGGAGGCAGAGGTAGGCAGGTTTCTTTTTAAAAATAAATAAATAAAGACTTGATGTAGGTGCACTGGCATTTTGGTCTAGGAACCAAGGTGTCACAGGCATGTTGGCGAGGCCGTGCTCACCCTGATGCCACTGCTAATGAGTGACCATTTCCTGGGAATGGGCTTCAGGCTTTGCTTATCCTAGGATCCTAACAGGATCTACTAAAACTGCTTTACAGCTTATAACAAACTTTTAGTCTTAACCATTTTTCTCCATGTGAGCAGTCTTTAATGGATGCCATGCATGAGGTTCCACTACTTCTGCATCTTCTCAGTCACTTCTCCCTTGTGTTTATTTCTCCTTTCCTACCAGGCATGACTGGGCTTTCCCTTCTGGGATCTTTTGTGGTCTTTGTCCAGCTTTAACCTGGTGATAACTGCCATGCTGGGGTGGATGCCCATGTGGACAGTTGTGCTTTTAGCCTTTTCTGGTTGCACCTTTTCTGTGTGGATGTCACATTCCTTCCTGTACACCTGGACCACCTTGCCAATCTGTTGCCTTTGTAGTGTCCTCAGACAACCTGAACTTCATCATCTTTTCGAACGTGCAAAGATCAAAGGAGCATTACACTGTGTTTCAGCTCTTCAGAAAGAGGGGAAGACATCATCTTCCTACAGGGAGAGGGTACACTGAAATGCTGTTAATTTGGTTCCGTCAGAAGTTACAGAGGGACTGAGCTTCATTTTGGTGGCAGCTGCTTCAGCAATGGCTGCAAAGGCAAAAGCTATTTCCTATTTAACAAACCTCAGAATAACCTCTGTTTTACCAGGGAGAGAAGCCAGAGTCCAGAATTTGCACTGGGTCTTTGCAAGGTCTGTGCTCAACAGAGGTCTGCTGTGCCACTATGTTACTGCCCTGGGTGCTGGCTGTGCCCTGTCCTACGTTTGGAAGTTAAATGGGCTATTGCAGCAAACCTTGATTTGCAAAGCCCCTCCTCGGGTTTCCTTAGATTATCAAATAGTGAGATTCTCTACCAGACGCCTAAATCTTTAGACTTCTTTGGCTAGCCAGTGATGTGGTACATAACCCAACACTGGAGAGGTTGAAGAAGAGGCCAGTCTTCAGCTCCACAGTGGGTCTAAATCTCTAAAATCTAAAACCCTTTTTAAAACTCTCTTTAGGGTTGAAAGTATTTCTTCAGTTATATAACTGCCCCCTTAAATGCATGAATATTATATGCAAATAGTTAGGAAAGCTGCCTGGGCTGCTCATAGCTGGGCTTCATAACATCCCTGAGCTCTCCTCTGCTCGGCTGAGTAGCAGCTCCCTGGCTCTCTCTTTTAAGCTGTGAACCAAGTGTGTGTTAGATGGAGCTGGTCTTCAGTGTAAGAGAACTTGGGAGAACAGAAGAGCAAGACTGGAGAAGCAGTAGCTCTGCTCCCTGAGACCTCAAAACTCGGTTGGTGCTGAAATGATAGCATGGGAAAACAGGAATGGGCATGTTAGGGAAAACTGTGTCTGTTGTCACAGCTTTGGGTGTGTGAAGCAGTGCCCCAAAAGTGTCATGACAGACCTGAAGCCTGACTCTGGTGAACCTTGGGGGTGATCTTTGCCAATCAAACAAGAGAAGCATGTCAAGTAAGTTCCTCCAGGTGGTTAAGGAAAGCAGCGCTCTCTTAGCACTATTTCCCCTGGGTTCCACATCCATGGACCAAAGAGAGTCTGGGAGTGTGATGGACGCAGGAGAGATGGAGGAGACTGCAGAGGGAATGGTTATTACGGGAAGGTGATAAGAGCTATATCTGAACACCATGGCTAAGCTGTGACAAGAAAGCAGAGACGTGTAAATGTCAGGTTGGGGGTGAGAAACACGGAGATTGAAAGGAAAACCCAGGGCTAGAAATGGGCTGTCACTGTCCTGTGTGCCACACTCTTGAACCTTAGCATCATGGCCTCAGAAAGCTTTCCTGGCAGTAGGAGGTGGCTTAGTAAAGTGCCTGCCTTGCAAGCATGAGGACCTGAGTTCAGATCGTCAGCACCCATAGAAACAGCCGGGTTGTCGGCAAGCACCTAAAATCCCAGTTCTGGGGAGGTGGGGACAGGAGGATCCCAGGCTTGCTGGCTAGCCAGTCTTAACCAGTAAGCACCAGGTTCAACAGGAGACCTACCTCAAAAACTAAGGTGGGGGCCAGGGAGGAGACTGAGTGGGAAAAAGCACTTGCTGAAACAAGACAGACCTAAGCTCAGAGTCCTAGAACCCACATGAAAAGCTGTATGTAGTATCACATGCATGTAATCAGTGTTCCTATGGCGAGATTGGAGAATAATTCAGAAGCTCATAGGCCTGCTAAACTGTCATTGCAAAGCAGCAGAGACAAGAAAGTCCCTGCTTCAAGCAAGATGGAGGGTAAGACTTGACCCCTGAAAGTTGTTCTCTGGCCTCTGTATATGGGTATGCGTACACACACACATGCACAAACACAAAGGTGGAACACTATTAAGGAAGATGCCTAATGTGTTAACCTCTGACATCCACAAGAACATCAAAGATACCCTTCTGGGGTGTTGATCCATCAGACTGCCAGGCCTTGCTCAGCTAGCTATGTGTAGGTGTTAGGACAGCAAACCAAGTGTAATTCTAGTGCTAGGGAAGCTGAGGCAGGAGGACTGCTATAAATTCAACTCAATCTGGTCTATATAGTGAGTTCCAGGACAGCCAGGGCTACGTGCAAACCTTGTCTTAAACAAAACAAAAAGATGATAGCAGGTGTCATTATTGGGCCAGGGTAGGAGGTTCTGTCATGCCCCATGAGTGTTCCAGAAAGAGATCCAAGACTTCACACCCCATTCCACCAGTCTTTCCTTGACCTAGCTTTCCAATGAGGTGAACTCTTGGTAGCAGGGAGTTGGTGTCCCCTCCTGACCACCCCCTCCCAGTGCTCTAAATGTTGGTGTGTAGCAAACAGTTAAACGAAAATAAAGGCTGTATCTGCCCCTGATCACTATGTGATGCCAATGATGGCAGGAGATGTTTTCCAAAACCAGTCAAGACAGCTCCTCAAGAAGACAGTGCTGTCCCTTAACAAATAGTTGTACTGAAAGATGTGAAACGGTTATTTCCATTTCACAACAGAAGAAAGCATCACCTGGCCCAGCGCTCTTTCCACTGCTCTGACCCACTAGGCAGGGTCTGCCTCCTGTCCAGTTATGATAGATCAGGCCCTCCAAGTGGTACCACTGCTAGGAGACAGCTCCTCACTCCCCATCATTCTCGCCCCATTCTGGGCACAGAACATTTCCAGCTTACCCAGAGTGAGATATTTGTGAGACAGCAGAGAGGTGCAAGCAAGGGTCAGATGCCTTGAGATGGAGGAGGTGGCAGAATTCTTTTATGGTGTTCCTCTGCTAGGAGTGGGACATTTTGCTTCACTTCAGCCTCAAGGCTTTGAGGCTTTGAGGGCTGATGTAACGACATGATGAAAGAAAGCTGGTGTAGGTGGCCAAGGAGGGCCCTGGAAGCCACCTTTGCTGTGGGACAGTGCCACACTCCAGGGGTTGCACACGAACTCTGGTGCGTTTCTGCCAAAGCTCCAGTGAGGCAGTGCCCACTCTTGTGACTGTGGGGGAGGAGCCTGCAGAGGGCGGGGCTTTGGGCGGGGCGAGCTCAGCGACTCCGGCAAGCTCGCTCCGACTATAGTTTAAAAGGCTGGAAGGCGGGCTTCCAGAACTAGTATCTGAGTGCGGGAGAAAAGCCCGCTTGGAACAGCCATGACCCGGCGGGCAGGGGGCTCTCGGCTGCTCTGCAGTCTCCTTCTCTTCGCGTTGTGCACTGCTGGAGTCGCCCCCTTCAATTGGGATCTCCCAGAGCCCCGCAGCCGAGCCAGCAAGATCCGAGTACACCCACGGGGCAACCTCTGGGCAACCGGTAAGTTTTAGGGACACCAACATGCGTGCCTCATTCTCCTCGGCCCCCAGTTTCCTTTCAACTCTCTGGAGACTCATAGTGGCAGAGCTCCTGCAGACCCCGGGGGCTCAAGTTTAACAGGTGGGAATGGGTCAGATCCAGCAGCCACATAAGATAACCCATTCGTCAAGTTTAAGACAGAGCTGGGGCAGCATCTTAGATCAGGTTGCCAGTCGGTCCCCCTTCCCTTGGGCAGACCGCCAGGTTTTCTCACTCATGTCTTTGTATATCCGTCTCCGAGACTCCTTTTCTACTTCCCTGGCAGCTCTCCCTGGTCCCAGGCTATCTACCCTTCTTCCAACTATGCTGTCCTACAGCAGGTTGAGAGAAGCTGAGGCTCTGCCTCCACCCAGATGTCTGTGGCTTCTTTCTGAGGAGGAACATTTCTTGTCTTTCCTCTGTGAGAGCAGAAAGGTGGAATAGATCAGAACTGGTTTATGGTAATAGGGTCCTTGCTCCCTAGCTGTCACATACCTTGGCACCTCTTTTCTAGGTCACTTCATGGGCAAGAAGAGTCTGGAGCCCCCAGGCCTGTCGCTGGTGGGGACAGCACCTCCCAGCACCCAGAGAGACCAGAGACTGCAGCTGAGTCATGATCTGCTCCGGATCATCCTGCTAAAGAAAGCCTTAGGCATGAGCCTCAGTGGCTCAGCCTCCCCAGTTCAGGTGAGCCCCTACCCCAGTACCAACACAGAAGAACTGCCACCCAGCTTGGGTTCAGGGTGGGACTGCCTAGCCAGGGTGTAATGGGTGTAGATTCCAGAAAGCCAGGGTCCCAGGTCTCAAAGGGGAAATATCCCAAAGACCAGCCAATGACGCAGCAGCAGCAAACTGCTTGGGAGAGGTTTCCTCTTTGCCCATCCCCAGTCTGAAATCACAGACTAGGATATCCTTGCCCTTAAGCAGACCGTCCTCTTCCACGCCACAGCCTTGTCCATCCCAGTTGCCTCCCACCTTTGCTGTTCCAGTCTGCTTGTGAGCTGTGACCTCTGAGGCCTAGAGGTATGAAGGGACGTCACCAGGGAAGATGGAACTTCCCATCCCCCGTCCACCTAGCAATGGCAGGCTTTATTACGTCAATGCTCTTGGCAGTCGGGCCCTGGGGGCTGTCCTGTGCATTTAGGATGCTGAACACATCCCTGGTCTCTACCTACCAGATGCCACTAACACATTCCCTCTGCTCACCAAGTTGTGATAACCAAATTTCCCTCCGGGTCAGAATGGTGCACTTTCCTGCAGCCCCTAATACCTCAGAGGTTGAGGCAGGAGGATAGTTTAAGACCAGTAGTTTGGGAAAAACAAAAACAAAAAAGCCTTTAGACACCAGGTTGATGTCCCCTGGGTGGAAGTGGGCTCGAATCACCAGTGGCTGTAAAGCACTAAGTAACCTGTGGTGTTCAAGCCCTTAGTGTCCTGCCAGGCTGGCTGGCAGCTCCCCCATTCTTTGCTTCCGGTGCTGTCCCCACTGCACACCACTCTCCCTGTACCCCCTGCTGCTGTGTGCAGAAGGCAGTGTGATGGGCTAGAAAGTATGCTGGGGCCATATAGCTAGTTAGCAGTTGGGTGACCTTAGAGATGTCACACTACTCACGTTCTTCATCAAATGGAAGTAACAGGCCCTTTCATGTCACGTGCACAGTATGGCACACGGAAAGTGCTTGGTAAGCAGGAGCTCCTATCACATGATGTCTGCAAGCCCCCCCCCCCAGCAGTGCTTGCTGATGACTCCCTCCATACCCCCACCTCCACTGTGCCTGGCAGTGTGCATACACCACAAGGAGAGATGTTCCTTAGAGGAAGTCTACTTTAGTCCCAGCAAACGTCCCAGGAACCTCAGATGCAAGAGCAAGAAGCTTGGGCTGGCGTAGTCCAGAGACATAGCTTCACCTCTAGGGCATTAATGTGAAGGCCTGAAATACCAAGACCAACCAGACTCTCAGAGGAAGCAATACTGCCATGGCCAGTGGCAGGGAGCATCAGAGAGGTCAGAGGCAGAGCTGGGGGAGGTAGAGGAGTGTCACTGACACTTGTCTAGGTGCCTTTAACTTGATATCTGTGGCGCCCTTTAGTTGCCATGACCACCCTGTGAAACTGTTGCCACATTCTGGGAAAATCGTTACCTCTGACTCCTCTCAGGCCTTTCAGGGAGAAAGGCACTCGCTCAGAGACCCAGCTGAGACCCTGTCCCTGCCCCTGCCCACCTCTGTGCACGTCCAGCATAACCCTATGATGTGTGGGCTTCTCTTTCTGCCTTCAGCACAGGAGGCTGCGGGACCCAATACGGAAGAAGTGATACCAGTAAAGGAACAAACACAACAACATGGCTTAGATAGAATGTGTCCATCTCGGCAAGCTGCTGAGCACAACCCCAGCAGTGGCCCTGTCTGGATGTAAATCCTAAACTCCAATGTGTTACTTATTCCATTACGTGATTTCTGGTTGGGTCACCAGGAATGTTGATGATACAGACACAAAGTCTTTCCTGCTGTATTTCTTGCTTCCCTGGTGAAGTTGTGAATAAAAATACTGCTCTTTACACAGAATGTCTGGGCATCTCCTTCTACCCACATTTGAAGAAAGGGGAAAGGACTCTGGAGGGTGGTATGTTTGTTGAGATGGGGTAGTCTGGGAAAAGCCCCATCACCCCTCACCATGGCGCCAACCAGGCAATGAATGATTGCCATCAGGTACTGTATTGGCTCACTGGTCCATTACCATTCTACTACCTAAAATTTCTTTGCCTGCAATAGGGGGCTGTCTACACTCACCCCATCTTTCATCCCAAGCTTTAGTGTGCTAGAATCCAGCCCTGCTGTGTTCTGATTCTTCTTTGGATTTAGGGACCTCCATAGGTTGCCAAAGTTACCGAATAAAAAATGAGAGCGTCTGATATTTTATTGATAGTGTCTTGTGTAACATAGACTGACCTCGAACTTTCTATGTAGCAGATGATGACCTAAAACTTAGTCTCCTGCCTCTATCTCCTGAGCACTGGAATTACAGGTGTGCGCTCACTGAAAGTGAGCTTCGTGCATGCTAGGCAAACACTCTATCAGCTGAGCTACAACCCTAGTCTAACTAGATTTCTTTCTTTAATAAAAAAAAAAAAAATCCTTCACGGATATATTCACGCGAACTTTTAAATCACCTTAAGTTCCAATTAAGTCTGTATTGTACCTGGCTTTGGGACACTTGACAGCTCTTTGGCTGCACATACTTGATCCTAAAACAGGGGCATATTTGATGTCTCCGGTCCTGCCTGGAGCTGACATCGAAGAATCTCTGTTTCTGCGTCGTTTTTACCCGGAGTCTGCCCACAGAACCCGGGACCAATCAGCAGGGCTTCGCGCAGCTCCGAGCGCTCCCGACACCGCTAGGTGGGCGACCACGCCCTCTCCTCGCGAGAGCGCGCGCCCGCCCCGGAAGTCGTGTTGACGGAAGTGGAGTGGCAGAAGCGACAGTTGCTATGGAGCTCGCGGAGGACTGGCTAGTGGAGTCTTTGCGCTTGTAAATTGGGCCGTGGGTTGGTCTGGTGGGCAGTGGGCGAGGGCGAGGACACGGGCAGCCCGGACCCGGGTGTGGGCTCGCGGGCGGTGCCCAGACAGGCCGGGCGGAGGGTCCTGATCCCCGGCCTCTCGATTCTGTGATACTCGGTCCTTTCGTAAGCAAGTAGTGTGACCAGGGGCTCACTCGTGAAGACTGGTTATGTTGCGACAGCCGCTAAGTTAACCTGAACACAGGTTTTCCAATTGGTGGTTCATCTCAACTTGGGGAAATCAACTTTACGTAACCCTGGGAGTTGCACAGATAAGAACCATGGGTCGGTGCCTGGTCTTACACACCCGGAGTAAAATGCGGGGGAAAAGACTTAGACCCATATCTACCTGACTCCAGAGCCTGGGTCCACTAATCCTGCAGTGATTTCAGAGTTCTTGGTCAGCTGTACAGTGTCGTGCACTGTGTGATTTTTGTATCCCTTTCCTGCAGGTACCAAGATTTCCATGCATTTGACCTCTCAGGAGCCACTCGAGTGCTTGAGTGGATTGGTGAAAAAGGTAATATACCCAGCTTGCCACTAAAAGAGATGGCTTTCTGCCCCCTTGGGCTGAGTTTTAAGGCCTCAGCCTTTAGAGAGACCCATCCAAGTTCCATCCCCTGACACAAGGCTGCCAACTAATGAACTGGATAAAAATTTATCCTTTGGAATAATTTATAAATCCAGCCGTAATCCACGATGTTTCTAACAATTTTCATAGTTACTGTTTTGTTTCAGGAGTTTTTGTTGCTGGTTATGAAAGTTTGAAAAAAAATGAGATTCTTCATTTGATACTACCTCTCAGACTCTCAGTGAAGGAAAACCAGGTAACTTAAACAGAGAAGCTGTTATATGAGTGAACGTGTACTTACAAATTTCTGCTGTGCCTGATAACCCACTGGGTACTGTCCCTGATAAGCTCTGGGTCTGCCCTTAAAAATCTAGCAGAAGGAAGCTCTATGCATAGGGAAAAAATGCTGAGGAAAGTCATATGGTTCCCGATAGAGCTACTACAGATGAAGGGCAACCTCATTGTATCAAAAATAGATTTAGGGAGCTGGGGAACTGGTTCAGGGACAGAGAGCACCCACGATGCAGCTCACAACCTTTTATAACTCTTGTCCCAGGGTACCCAGCATCCTCTTGTGGCCTCCAAGGTACCAGGTGTGCATGTGGTGTACAGACATGCATGCAGACAAAACACCATAATTTTAAGCATAGATAAAGGGGCTTGAGAAGTAGCCCAATGGTGTAGCACTCACATGGTATGAGCAAGGTCTCTGTTCAATCCTCATAGCATCACACACACACACACACACACACACATACACACACAATAGATTAGGGAGCCATTAGGGTACAGGGGTTGGTGGAAACCATACGGATAGATGAGATCACCTAGGATAAAGGTGTGAGGATTAAGAGAAGACAGCAGGAACAGGACCTTAGGGAATGTATTTAAATGATGCAAAAAAAGAATAGTCTTTGAAGTTAGAGGAGGAGAATGTGTGAGTGGTAGCTATGTAAGTATAGATAGTGGCTACTACTAGCCAGCCAGGGCTACACAGTTAGAACTTATTTCAAAGAAGGAAGAAGAGGAGAAGGGAAAGGAAAAAATAAAGATTTGAAGAAGAGAAGAAAAAAAAAAATTAAATGTGCCTGATAGAGGGAATACTTGTTAAATGGTTGTCTTGTCTCTGTTGCTAGAGGAACCCACCTGGCTCCTAGTGGGAGGGGGAGTGCTTGGTGGTAGCAACCCTTGTTCTCTTGGCTGAAGCTGCTTTCTTCTGTTACTCCTAGGAAGGCTCAGAATGTTTTGCCCCATATGAGAGGGATGGAGCAGGCTAGAAGAAGGCTTGGAGATAGGCAGGAAGATAAAGAAGCTGCACATGTAGGCATTTACAGATATCTGCCTGCCAAGGTCCAGCTGAGTAACTCTCATGGCCTCCTTCCTTGGCACTCACCTGAAGTGTTCATTTGAAAAGCAGGTGCTCAGGGCTGGAGATATGGCTTAGAAGTTAAGAGCACTGGTGGCCCTTCTAAAGGACCCAGTCAATTGCCTCCGACACCCACATGGCAGTTCACAACTGTCTGTAATTACAGTTCCAGGGGATCCGGCACCCTCACACAGATACACATACAAAACCCCAATGTACGTAAATCAGTCTCAAAAAAATAAATAAATTTAAGGGAAGAAAAAAAAAGAAAGAAAGAAAAGTAGGTGCTGATCTCAGTGGTGGTGGTGAACACCTTTAATCCCACCACTCTAGAGGCAGAGGCAGGTGGATCTTGGCGTTGGAGGCAAGCCTGGACTACAGAGTGAGTTCAAGGACAGCCAGGGCTGCAAAGAGAAACCCTGTCTTGTAAAAAAAGAAAAAGGAAAGAAAAATCAGGCACTGTCTGATTGCCCCAACCCTTTGTGTTTTAGGGTTTATTTCCAGAGAGAGATTTCAAAGTGCGCCACGGAGGGTTTGCAGACAGGTCTGTCTTTGACCTAAAGCACGTGCCAGATACCAGGTATGGCCAGTCTGTTCCAGACCTTCTGTTCTGTGGGGATAACAGGAAACGTTTGCAGTGTTGTGCCGTCATACTACCATGCCCACTTCTCAGTCTCCAGACATAGATGGCGGTGACATGGGGCTGGGACACACATAGATTTAGCATGTGGAGAAACCATTAGCTTAGCAGCCATTTTGAGTAGTGGGGCCACCAGGTCTTTGGAGTTGCTCCAGGGACCAAATACAGAGTGGAAAATACTCTGAAGCTTCTCAGAGAGCTGTCTCAGTCAGGGGTATATGTTCAGGCTCCCCGCTTGTGTCCCTTCTAGGTGACCATCATGACCTGTGGAAGCCTGGGTTCGGTCTGTGGCTCTCTCTGAGTTGTGATCCTGTCCCTAAAGCAGGGTGAGCCTGCTCATCTGTTGAATGAGGGCTGCTGGTCCCAGGGTCCTGAGTGGGCTGGAGAGGAAAGACTGCCAGGGTGAGGTGAGCTTCCCTCGGTCTGGACTGATTTTCTGTCTCTCTGGAACAGGTTTCTGGTGACCAGTGGCCTTCCAGGGTGTTACTTACAGGTGTGGCAAATTGGAGAGGACAATGGTGAGTGAAGTTCACTTGGTGGAAGTTGAGGTTTTAGGAAAGCCACTCCTGTCCCTTATACCGAGCCAGTAAAGAAGTACATAAGGGAAGGGACAGGGGACAGCACAGCTTCTGTCTGCTTTTGCACAACAAAGATGAGTTAGCATTCACAGGGTGGCAGACAGGCCTAAATGCTACCGCTTTGAACTTCGTCCAGGAATTGAGTTTACCAACCTAGCCACTGGCAGAGCACCTAGAGAGCCAGGGCCTCTCAGCTGGGCAGGCCCAGAGGAAGGCTTGAGCTAGGGCCAATCGGGAGTACTCGCTGGAGGAGGAGGCGGCATCAAAGAGGCCCCTCTTTACTGTGTGCTAGTTCAGGGAGAGGAAAACAGTGAGTGAGCTAGAGGCTCACTGGCAGTCTACTTCCCAAGGGCACGGAGAAGGGGCAGGTGGTGCCCTGGGGGGGGGGGGGGGACTAGTAATGGGACTGCAGGTCCACCCCACACTGTGGCAAAGCTTCCCACAGTCAGCACAGTGTCTTACATCTCCCGGGCCTCACTCCTGCCCAGGGGATGCTGTTGGGCTCTGCCCTGACCGGTGCCTCTCCTTGTCACTTGTCTGTGTGGTCCTTCCCAGTTCCTCATGTTGCTTCTCTATACACGTGGCACGTTTTTGATGTTGCTGCTGTTTAACCGTTTTATTGGGGTATGTTTTACCTACCATATGATTCACCTCTGTCAAGTGTATAGGTCAATGATTTTTAAAGAAAATTTGCCAGATTTTACAGCCATCACTATAAGTCAGTTTTAGAACATTTTTATCACTCCCAGTAAGATCTGTTATCCCATTTACTATTAATTTCACTCGTGCATCCTGCCTCAGACCATCATTAAAATATTTTCTCTGTAGTAGTTTTACCTATTCTGAAAAAGGTCTTTTTAGTGGAACCTTTCATGTATTCTCTTGTATCCAGCTTCTGTCCCTTAGCATATGCTTTTTAAGACTGTCCATGTTATAGCATGCATCAGTAATTTGTTCTTTTTTATTATTGATACTGTTCCGTTGGATGGGTATGGCACAATTTATCTGTCTGTTCCAGCCCTAATGTACAAATCTTGATATGGAGATATATTGTTGGATTATATGGTAAATTTATGAGGTTTTTTTTTTTTTTTTTTTTTTTTTTTCTTCCTTTCTTTCTTTTTGGTTTTTCAGGACAGGGTCTCACTGTGTAGCCTTGGCTATCCTGGAAATCACTAGCCTCGAACTCACAGAGATCTTCTTGCCTCTGGTTCCATTCCTGAGTCTGGGATTAAATGTGTGCAATACCAGTGCCCAGCAAGAGGCTGCATTCTTGTTTTATGTGTGATTGTAATTATTATGGTACTGGGTGGAGAGGGAATCCATGGCCTCAGATATTGCCAGGCAAGTGCTTTGACGTTGAATTATGTTCTAGCCTCTCCTGAATCTTTGGAATAGTCTGCCTTCCCACAGCTGAGAATCCTTCCTGACTCAGAGCAGCAGGTCCTGGGAGAAGTGGTTTCAGGCTCCTTGGAGTCAGTGCAGGGGAGTCTGGAAAGTGTGGCCCAGGAGAGGCTCTGCTGGAGTGGTCTCAGTTGAAGCCTTTTGGTGCTCCCTAGAGACCAGCCACAGTGGCCCTGCAGCCCAGCTGCTGAGTCTGCTGCAAGCACTTTGCTGCCCTGTGTTGAGAAGTCCGGATGAGAGGCCCTGAGGGAGCCGGGCTCCCCTTTGCTTGTGGTGCAGGGGAGCTGTGTCTGGAAGGAGCACGCTGCCTCGCACTCTTGGCAGTCTCTCAGTGCCCTTCTCATAGCCATCCACTGACTAGTCTGACCAGTGCCTGTCCTTTAAAACTGGAGATGCCCACAGATTTCATCTTCATATAGTGTGGGCGTGAAATAGTGACTTCTTTTTTTGAGAAAGAAAACATAATCATAAAACAAGAATTTCTCTTTTAAGTAGTTTGGGCAGCAGATGACTTGTCCCAGACTGTTCCAGCTGAAATCAAGAGAAACATCAAATGAATCCCAGCCCTCAGGAGGCAGAGGCAGGTGGATCTCTGAGTTTGAGGCCAGCCTGGTCCATGTAATGAGACCTATCTCCAAAAACTAAAAAACTAAAAAAAAAACAAACCAAAAACAAAAAACCCAAAAGTATCAAATTATGTGGAATGCAGAGGCAGGGAACAACTAGCTACCCAAGCAGCCTGAGTTTGAGACAAAGTAAAACTATAGAGATGAGAACCAGACAAAAATTAAAGTTTATATTCCATTCCAGCACTAGGAGATGGAGACAAGAGAATCAAGAATTTGAGGCCTGCCTGGGCTAGCAGAACCCTGTCTCAAAAAAAAAAAAAAAAAAAAAAAAAAAAAAAAAAGAAAAGAAAAGAAAAAAGAAAAAGAAGGTGAGGCACCGCCTTTAATTCCAGCAGTCAGGAGACAGAGGCAGGAGTTCAAGGCCAACCTGGTCTACAGAGTGAGTTCCAGGACAGCCAGGGCTACACAGAGAAACCATTTCAAGAAAACCAAAGGGGGGTGGGGGGGAAGGAAGGGAGAAAGGAAAGGAAAGGAAGGAAGGAAGATGGTTCAGCAGGTAAAGGCACTTGCTGCCAAGCCTGCCCATCTGACAATCTAAAGTCAACCCCAGGACCCACATAGTGAAAAGAAAAACTGATGCCTCCAAGTTGTTCTCTGACCTTCACATGTGGACACAGATGCAGTAAACAAAGTATATGATATTTAAAAAGAAAGCTAAACTGAAATCTTATTCTACTTGAAGTACATTGGCTTTCAAATTTGTGTAAGAGGCTGTCCTTCCTGTTTTCCCATTCTCATCAGCAACCTCTGCAGTGCCTCCGTGAGCAGGGTCTGGCAGGCAATGTGAGCTCACAGAGTGAGTTTTACAAGAGGCGGGACTGGTTCGTGAGCTCAGAACTTGTTACTTTTCACTGGAGATGTAACTGCTCATTCCCTTCCTTCTACCTCTTTTCCGACAAACAAGTCAGAACTTCGTGATTTCAAGATGGCTGCAATGACTCATTGTCTCCCATTTGCAAAAAATAGTTCATGAGACAAATTACAAAGACGTGAAAGTGAGTCTGGCAGGTTCAAGAATGTGAACAAGAGCCTGAGTGCTTTTGTCTCAACTCTGCCTCACCAGCCCTTGGCCCCCTCTCTCACTTGGCCTTCTAAATGTCAGGGGCTTCTGGCCAGCCCTCAGTGACCCTGCTCTGCACTTTGGTCTCTTCCCCTTTCCTTAGATGTCATTGAAGCTGTCAGTACCATTGATGTGCAGGACAAAGAGGAGCGCCTCTGGCCTCGGGTGTCTGTCTTCTCCTCCGTGGCACCTGGAATCCTCTACGGGGCGAGGCTCAGTGGTCTGAGGACTGTGGACATAGAATCCCAGAAGATCACATACAGCTCAGGTACTGCCACAGTGCGCCCCCTGCTGGCTCCTCCAGCCAGCTCTGTCAATCACACAGGCCAGATGTGGGGGAACCTGAGGCTCCGGGGCCCAGCACACACCCAGTAGAGCAGAGTGTCACAATGAAGGAAAGCTATAAACCTGACTTACTCTGCCTGGGCCTGGTGCAGCCCTCCAGGCCTGCCACATTCCAGAGCCACCGGACTCCAGCAGGTTTTCTTCTTGCTCCCTTTCGTCTAGGTACCAGTGACAGTGAGTCATTGAGCAGCCTGCAGGTCCTCGATGCGGACACCTTTGCTTTCTGTGGCACCTCAGGTCGGCTGGGACTTGTGGACACCCGCCAGAAATGGGCACCATTGGAGGCTCTCAGTCCCAGCCCTGGCTCTAGTGGACAGACATGGTGTGCAGACATTAGGAACAGGGGCCAAGGCCCTGGGCCCTGCGTCGCCAGCCTTGGCTCAGATGGGCAGCTCTGTCTCCTTGACCCCCGGAATCTCTGTCATCCTGTGAGCTCAGCCCAGTGCCCAGTGTCCAAACCCAGCCCCAACCCAGAGCTGCTGCGAGTGACTTGGGCTCCAGGCCTGGACAACTGCTTGGCCATTTCAGGTACTGTTGAGAATGATGTGTCTGTCCAAACCCCTGCTCTCTCCCACGGATGGTAGGAGCTGGGGAAGGAATCTGCAGCCCCATGTTTAACCTGGCTGCAGAAGCTCAGGTTGCCTGCCAGGGCCACTTTGGTCTCTGGGCTCCTCAACCCCACCCTGGCCAGTGAATTTGTACCAACTTTCAGTGGCCCTTATAAGCCTAGCAGAGGGTCAGGTGTGCTGAGAGACTTGCAGACAGTAAGATCCGGAACAGCCAGAGGCTGTTCCAGAAAGAGGCCACAGCATCTCACTGAGCCGCTTATCTGCCTGTATTTTAACTACAGCCACAGCAGCAGACTCCTGAAGCCTGGGGTTCTCATTGCAAGGGTGTACTCAATGGGGCTAATTGAACCAGTGAGAAAGGTCTGCTGAGAGCACAAAAGGGGAAGTCCCAGGATCCAGAAAGAGCAGAAGAAACACAGTGTGCCAGAGAGGACAGGAAACAGCAGCATGGGAGAGGGACAGTGGACCTCAGTGGATGGACAAGAGGGCCAACACTAAAGACGAGACAGGGCTATTCACTGTGGACACGGGTGAGGGATTGCAATCTGGAGAAAATGAAAAGGATGGAAAGTTTCTTCTGCTCCATTTCCTGTGGAAATACTGTTAGGAGGATTAGAGAGGACACATGTTGAAGTTGGGGCATAACTCAGTAAAGCTTGCCATGCAGCTTGAGAATCTCAGTTTGATCCCCAGAATTTTCTAAAGAAACCTGGACATTGCCAGATGTGGTGGTGCACGCCTTTAATCCTAGCACTTAGGAGACAGAGGAGGTGGTTCTCTGTGTGTTTGAGATTGGCTGGTCTATGTATAGTCGGCTAGGGCTACTTAGTGAGACTCTGTCTCACAGAGGGAGGAGAGAATGAGAGAGAGGAGGGGAATAAAGGGAAAATCGATGTGGTAGTATGTTCTTATAATTCCAGCACCAGGGAGGCAGAGACAGGCAGAGCTCTAGGGCTCATTGGCCAGCCAGCCTAGCCAGATTGGTGTATTCCAGGCCAATGAAAAGACTGCCATGACAAAAAAACAAGGTGGGCTGTGCCTGAAAAATGATAGCTAAGGTTCACCTCTCTGACCTACACACACACACAGTGCATCCATCAGGCCTAGCCATGTGATGCAGCCTGTGTGAATGCTCATGGAGACGCCCCCCACTGGTGCAGGTATAGCGTTCTCTTTGGGTGACCCCTTGAGCATCTTGTGACAGAGGAAGTTGCCCAAGCAAGTGAGGGATGTAGGGTCACTCCTCTCCTTTCTGTGTTCTTCTCCAGGCTTTGATGGGACAGTGCAGATCTATGATGTCACATCGTGGCATGGAAAGAAAAGCCCCGTGGAGCCTCTCTTCACTCACAAAGGCCACATCTTCCTGGATGGAAATGAGATTGCCACTGCTCCTCTGGTCACCACCCATACCTGGCACCCTTGCAAACCCAGAACTTTGTTATCAGCAGCAAGTGATGCCTCTCTGCATGTGTGGGACTGGGTGGACCTCCAGGCCCCCTGCTGACGTCAGTGGCTTCCCTCCTGGGCCTCTGAGGATCTCAGAGTGGGAGTTGCTTGAATGGCAAGGATGCTGATGCAGGCCGAGTGACCACAGGCCTACCACAGCTGTTGACTTGAGCCAAGTTAGCCTGCCCTTGTCCCTTTTTCTTATCTATAAAATGAAGGTGGTATTGACTTCCACCTTCAATGGGGACTGTCACAAGTATCCGAGCAGAGTTGGTAGGGTGTGTGGCACATTTTGGTTGGGAGCGACTGTGGGCTCTAGGAGCCCCACCTCTCCAAGTGCAGAGTGGCAGAGCAGAGCGGTGCTCCTGTCTTTGTCACAGGGTTAGGGTGAGGGTAGGAGAGCTGGGGTGTGAACTTTTTTCTGTTTGCAGAAAGAAACTGTCTGTGGGCCAATAAACATTGAAAAACAAAAACCCAATAACAAGCAAATAGCCATTTGTTTATTTAGTTAGTTTTTGGACAGAGTATTGAGCCCAGGGCCTTCTGTACTGAGTCATGTCCCAACCCCTTTGAAATTTTTTTGAGTTTTTCCTGGTGTGTCTGTGTCTGTGTGCACATGTGTGAGTGTGGGCACTAGGAAGTGCTGGCAGGGAGGGGTCATTCTGAATCCTCCACCGTGACCTCTGTGCATGCTGGTGGACTGGAGTGAGCTCTGTCTTCCCTGTTGGGTAAGGGGCCTTGTTATGAGCAGTCAGGAAAACTGCTCATAACAGGGCCTGTCTTAGTCAGTGTTCTATAAAAACTCATCTGCCAGGCCATGATGGTACATGCCTTTAACCCCAGCATTCAGAAGGCAGAAGAAGGTGGATCTCTTGTGAGTTCAAGGCCAGCCTGGTCCACAAAGCAAGTTCCAGGTCAGCCAGAGCTACACAGAGAACCCGTCTTAAAACACACCCACGAAAACCAAAAGTAATTCATCAATTTGGACTAAGAAGCCATAGAGCTCAGGCCCTCACTGCTCCAGAGGAGAGGGTGGTACAGTGGTAGAGTATGTGTTTAGCATGAACGAAGACCTCTGTTCAAGGGCTGGAGAGATGGCTCAGCACTTGTTGCTCTTGCAGAGGAAGAGGGGTCGATTCCCAGCACATGGTGGTTTACAACCATTCCTAGTAACGCCAGTTCCAAGGCACCTGACACTCTTTGGGCATGGTTGTACGACAAGGAATGCACAGCATGCACATACATACAGGTAAACAAGACATTTGTGTACATAAATTAAGAAAACTTTTTTAAAAAGAAAGAAATGGGGGGATGTGAAGAGGGGGAGGGAAAGGGTAAACCATTTTCTCTACCAATGATGGTATTTGACTTTCTGCTTCTTTTGAAGCAAGATTAAGGAAAGGAATGAGTTTTTAAAATTTAACATTAAAATGTCTGGTATAGGGATTGGAGCGATGGCTCAGCAGTTAACAGCGTGTGTTGTTCTTCCAGGGGACCTGAGTTTGGTTCCCAGCACTCACATTAGGCTGACTGCCTGTAACCACAGCTCTCCTATGTGTACTATGGCTTGTGTGAGTACTGGCACACACACATGACATGCATACATATGTACACAGACATAAAAATGATTCTTTTAAGGCCTAGTATAGAGACTACTACAGAAGCTCCGAAGCTAAGTTTGACTCTACAGGAAATGACAGACTTACCTAGTGAAACTTGATGTATAGAATTCTCCAAGTTTCTTCTTTTTAGGTGTCCCTTTTCTCCAGGTTCTGAGGGCCTGTACATCTCCTGAGAGACATAAGCCACATCACTACATGCATTACATGTCATAACACAATGATTGGGAAAGTAGCTTTGTGGTAGAGCATTTGCCTAGCAAGTGTGAGACCTTGGATTTCATCCCCAGAGCTGTGAAAACAAAACTGAAAAGCGTTGCCTTGTTTGTCACACTTGACATCACCACAAGGAACATCTACCAACTAAAGGAGGAAAGATTTATCTTTGGGACTGGAGAGATGGCTCAGCGGTTAAGAGCACTGGCTGCTCTTCCAGGGGTCCTGAGTTTGATTCCCAGCAACCACATGGTGGCTCACGGCTGTCTATAATGAGATCTGGTGCCTGCAGGCACATATGCAGACAGAACACTATATAAAACAAAACAACAACAAAAACTTGAGAATAACGTGGCAGGGAGGGCATGGTGGAGCAGAGACACTCACATGAGGCAGGCTGGAAGCAGAGAGAGAAAACCTGCGGTCTTGGCTTTCTCCTTTTTCATCTTGTAGCCCTGGCTGGCCTGGGACTCACTATGTCGACAGGATGCCCTCAAATTCTCAAAGTCTTGCCTGCAGCTCGTGGAATCCTTTGGGAATTTCTGAGGAGTGAGAGTTGGTTATAAAGGACCCACTCCAGCAGCAAAGGTGGTGAGCACATGGCCACCACTGACTTGTAAACATTGTGTCCTCTGCTCTTCCTGTCTGCTTTGTCCTATCAGAGCACAGCTGGCAAAACAAACAGAAAACCAAGAAGATATATTTTCAGAACCCAAGTTAAAAGTTTTCCCTTCTTTATTGATCCAAATGCTATCAGGGGCTTATGGTTCTGCTTTCCAGTGTGTGTAACATACATGAGTCATCTGAGTTGGTTGGGGACTCTCAGCTGTTTTAAAGATGGCTGCTCTTGAGTTTAACCCTACCTTATACCTTACCACCAATCAGACCTAAAATCTGTCCCTATTATAACATATGGGACCAGAAATATCACTCATCTAACCAGAGAAATGGCTGACTATCTGATGCTATTTTAAGACTATGTCAATTAGCCCAGTGGTGGTTGCACACGCCTTTAATCCCAGCACTCAGGAGGCAGAAGCAGGTAGATCTCTGAGTTCGAGGCCAACCTGGTCTACAGAGTGAGTTTTAGGACAGCCAGGACTACGCAGAGAAACCCTGTCTTGAAAAAACAAAACAAACAAAATGGAATATGCCAACTAAGTCCACCAAATACCTCCTCCTCCTCTTCCTCCTCCTCTTCCCCTCCTTGTCTTTCTCTTCCTCCTCCTCTATGGTGAGGAGCCAGACTATCACAGACTTATGAAGTCAACCTCAGTTCACTTGTGGCATCTTTCAAGTATAAGGGAGTGTAAATCCTCTGCCTCACATTCCTCAGAGGGCCACTCCATTCCCTCCCAACAGAACACCCTCCCCACTTCTTCCCACAAACTGCTCTCACGCTTCCCGTGGACGGATTCGAACTCTGCTCTGGGACTGGGACTCCAGTGTGCCTCTGGATTCAGCTGCCAGCTCTCATCACTGCCCAGAGCAGACACACTGACTCTGTGTTTGCTGCAAATGGATGTTTGGGAAACCCAGTAGTGGTTCTGAGGGCTATTTCTCCTGTGACTGCACATCCTAACTAAGGATTGAAAGCGGTGAAGGCTAAAAGTTAAGCATGTCAAGACCCAAAGGAGAAAGCTGCCATATGTAAGCCTGCAATAGCAAAGCAGAGTGTGGAAGGGGCAGGACTTCACTAGGAAACATAACGATTCAGCGTTTCACAATAGGAACAGTAGTATTTTATGGGGAGGTCTCCAGTCTCTCCTGCTGTCCACTCCAGCAACAGTCTTGACCTTGTGCAGAGAGACCAACCTTCAGACTGCTAAAGCTGTCCATTCTCCAGTCAGCCTTCCAGAGGAAGCAAAATTGCAACTATCCACAGGAATAATTAACTTCATTTGACAGAAACAGCAAAGAGCTGCCCGCTGCTGACAGCCCAGGGTGTGTCTCATTCCTCTGCTTCAAGTAGTCAGAATGATACTCTCTTACTTGATGGGCAGCCTTTGCCTTTCAACATTCAGCAAAGCCCCCTGCAAAGCCACAGCCTCCTCTCAACTCTCTGGATGCTGCTATCTGCCTAACTCTAGGCCTCTCCCGGAAGGACAGTTGGAAACGGTTTGGTTTTAGCCTTTAGTAGCACAGTTTCTGCAGGAAGACAAGGGCCTCAAAGCATCCAATGCCTCTAGATATTGAAACCCTAGGGAAATCACAAGTGTTAGACCAGCAGGACCAAAGAAGAGAACCTGGCTGTCTGCCCCGCTCACTTCCCAGTGCTGGGGCTGTGTGGTTCTCTATCTCTGGAGAAACAGCCCCAGAAGGCTGCTAAAAGGAGCCGGAAGCTGTGCTTGCATTGCAACTCACGCAGGGCTGAGAAAACCCTACTTATCCTCGTGGGACTTACATGAAGCTCACATATGTGAACCAATAATCTGCCCCCACCCCCACCCCAGTGTTCCAAATAACTGCAGGAGATTTTGAAATAAAGCCCAGGGTGAATCTGAGGTCCTGCAGGGCAGCTATATTTGGAGAGGTCTTCAGTTTCCTCCACCACCACCCCCAAACTGTTCCTGAGTTCCCCAAAGAGAATTCAAACTGGACACAGCGATATAGCAAGCTCTAAGAATTTAGGTTTAGCAAGCAAGCAAGAGTAAGCCAAGCAGCAATGGCCTCACCCTCAGCAGGCACAGGGCTTAAATTTCTCTTTCCTCTGTAATTCCTTCTCCTATGCCTTCCACTGGGCAAGAACTGTCAGGAAAGGGATACATTTTTTTTTTTTTTTTAAAAAAATACTATTTTATATTTTATGGGTATTTTATCTGCATGCATATATATGTGTACCACGTGCATGCCTGGTCCCATGGATCATCTGGACCTGGAGTTACAGACAGTTGTGAATCACCATGAGGGTGCTGAGAATTGAACCCAGGTCTTCTAGGGGAGCAGCCACTGTTCTCAACCGCAGTACTATTTCTCCAACACCCGGGTACATTCTTCTTGGAAGCCTATTTTGTCCAGAATTTAGTCTAAGAAGATGTATAAGATGAAAAGATTATGGGGCCGGAAAATAGATGGCTCCGAGTGGTTAACAGCATTTGTTGCTCTTGTAGAGGACCAGAGTTAGTTCCCAACACCCAAGACAAGTTGCTCACAACCTTCCCTGTATCTCCAGTTCCAGGAGATTATAGCACCCTCTTCTGGCCTCTAGGTGGTCCACATACAAACAAGCAGGTACTCACAAATTAAAAAAAAAAAAAAACTTAAAAAAAGTAGCTAATAATTTTTTTCTAAATTTAAGGATACATATTGGGGCTTAAATGTTGAAAAGTTTATTGTGCATGCTCCTCCAGCGAGGAATTTCCTGAGGTCAGTTTGAGTTGACTCAGCTAGAGACCACCACCACTATTCTTTATATGCTGTTTTGGGGGAACCAAACGCCACCAATTACTGTTTTTGT